GTGAAGTACCGAGTCTGCGAGAGACATTTGGGATTGATACTGGCATGAAGCAATTAAGGGAGGATAGGGAAGCTGTGGTTCCCGATTGGGCCACCGCACCTGGCAGCCTATACCGAAGTCATACCGAATGCTTCCTACAAAAAGAAAACAAGTAATTAAGCGAAGGAGTGAGATAAGGAGAAGGGGGAGAGAACAGGAAACTGCAAATCGTTTTCGACGCACCTGACGGAAGACGATACATTCTCAGCAACACGTGTGTACCTGGAACGTGTACAGACGCCAACGTGATGCCACTTTTTTCACGCTTAGACAGTGAGATAAGACAGCCTGGCTAAGGTACTCGGCTGCTGACCCGCAGGTCGCGGGTTCGATTCCCGGCTGCGGCGGCTGCATTTCCGATGGAGGCGGAAATGTTGTAGGCCCGTGTACTCAGATTTGGGTGCACGTTAAAGAACCCCAGGTGGTCAAAATTTCCGGAGCCCTCCACTACGGCGTCTCTCATAATCAAATGGTGGTTTTGGGACGTTAAACCCCACATATCAATCAATCCTTCTCCTGCACCGTCTGCTCCGTCTTTTATGTATCTCTGTATACTGCACACTATATACTACACTAAGTACTACAGTATATACTGTACTATACCATACATTATACTATAATATACATTACTATACTGCAATATATTATACATAATATAAGGTATAGCATATACTATATATTTGTATACTATAGAGAGTGGTTTAACCATTGCTCAACCATTCGATTACGCTTCACGCAGGAGTTATTGTTGGAGACGGGACCACATTACTTCGGAAACATTCAAAGAGAGAGAGAGAGAGAGAGATGTAGAAGATGGCCAGGAGGTTAATCAGACATTTTAACAGACGTAACAGCCATGCAGGTGATGAACCCACAGCACACCTCCGTAGTATTCAATCTGATTTTAATTACTCAACGATTACTTCAGCCATGTATGCTCTACTTTGTGTTCAGCTACGTGAAACTGTCGCTGAATGTGCCCCGTACATGTACGAAATTTACGGAGCATTTATCTTCACAAAGACTCTTAGGGACACACCTCCTATATAAATAATGTCATTATAATTAAACTAATATTTTCTACCCATTTCGCCAATATTTCTTGCATATTTTGCGTAAATACCTCATTTAGTTTTTCTCTTCTGTATTACATAACGTTCAACTCATTTTATGTATGTCTCCATATTACGCTTCCACATGTATACAAAATACTATCTGACACAGAAATCACTTAAGTTTGCTTCGAGTTCTGGGTTCACAGTTGCATAACTCTGACCTATTACAATTACTCTCTCACGAATAATAAGCTATTTCTCACTGTTCATTGTTTTCTTCGGATCAAATTATAGTACTTATCACATTTGAACTTGTCGTTATTGTCACGAAGACGCTTTAATGGCTAACTCCAGCGATTTTTCGACCATGTCAAGGTAATGGTGTTTTTGTGTTCGTGAGACACTCTTCTCACGAGCTCAATAGCTGAAATGCTCAGGAAATTTGAAAATAACTTTAATAAGCGAAAATGTGCGAAACCGAAACCAAAACCTGACCGGACGCCCTGTCTTCGTATGACGTACTAGTTGTTAAGAACCGAAGGCGGCATGCTGGTTCCGAGGGCACGTAGTATGAAAGCTGTGAAAGCCAGACCGTCGAAGCACCAAACACCAGAGAGGAAGGGATAAAGCTTTCCCGTGCTATACCCGTGCTATACCCGTGCTATACCCGAGCTATACCCGTGCTATACCCGTGCTATACCCGTGCTATACCCGTGCTATACCCGTGCAAAAGACCGACGCCATCGCTTTGTGGACAGCACAATAGACGCTGTAGTAGCCGAAGTAGCGATGCCATCAGCTGCGTTACTTCGGTTGACATGCCAAACATGACGTCACACAGACAGTGTTGCCAACAATTCTGGCAAGCGAGGTGTGCTTTTCGAGGCAATCTTCGAAATTCCTTTGCAAACAATCAACGCATCTATCAAGCCTGTAACTTGGCATAAATGACGGAAATGTGCAAAGGAACGTACCCAGCGAACTTCACTGAGATCCATTGACCTAGAAAAATCGCCGGGGTTGGCCTTTAAGGTTACCGGCTTTCGCATCTATTGGAGAAGAGCTTAGTTGTGCCACATACTAAGACGTACGTTTTGCCAGCCTCTTGGTACCGCGATCACGGACGAATAAACAGCTACACACTCGGAATTAAGTTTTTTCACTAAACGTAACGGTAGCGCTGTCACGGAAAAGCGTCAAATTATGTTCAACCAACAGCCGCAAGTGGCAACGAATATCTGATACACGGTGTCCTGCGAGAAGAACGCAATACGCGCAAGAAAACGCAAGGAACTGGGGGCTTTCACTGCATTGCACGTAACTATACCACGGTTCTGATGCGCACCGCAGCCAGTCTTATAGCCGCCCGGGACGCAAGGATTGCCGAAGGTTTTCTGGGGTTTCCTGCTTTGTCTTTCTCCGACAGGGAAGCGCAAGATAAAGACGGGGACGGCTTCGGTGAACACTGCGAGCGAGTTTCCCTGCAGCTTTTAGCGTTATTGCGTCCGTCTCCGGTCTCCCTCGAGAAATAAATCCGGTCATGTAAAAAATTGCCTCCCAAGGAGGTAAGCGATCAACTCTCGACTTTTCCCAGGGCCTCCGAGATTTGCTCGGAGAAGTAGGGAGAAAATTGGCACGTGACCACGAAGCAACGCGTAAAGCGTTTATCGCCTTCACGTTTTTCAAAGAAATAAAAAAAAAGAGGAAGAATAGACGCAGGCTTAACTCGTTCGTCCTTCCTTCTTTCCTTTCCTCGGAAGAAATGAACGCCCCAGAAAACGCATCATTGCGAAATGCACTGTGGCGTTCAGTGAGTTTCCTTCCAGTACATGCCATCGGTATAGAATGTCGGATTGGTGTGCCGTCTCGGCTATCTCATAACGCGGTGTTGTGATCGAGGGGTTCCTCCGTTCGTGTTGGATTGAACCCCGAGGTAGAACAGGCAGGGGACGCACATCACAGGCGCAGAAAGTGGTCTAGAGCAAAGAAAAAAAAAACACGAAAATGATACCCGGGCAATAAAAAAGGGCGGAGAAAGAGAAGGAAAATGAGTGAGAGAGATCGCGAAGAAATACCTACACGGCGAAAAATAATCGGCCTTTCTCGGCCCGACCATTCGGGTATGGGAAAGCAAACGACCGTTATGTTTCCGCCAGGCGGGATTGTGTAAAAGATATCTGCTTCGGACTGTATCTTCCCGATAAGAAGTACGGCCTGCCACGTCTAGACAAGAAGTCCATTAACTTTTCTCTGCGGAATAGCTTGCGAGCGTGCAGAGAACTGGAAATACAGCACGATTCATGACGGACTGCGTAATAGTTTTCAAAAGTAGCGTGTTGCCTTCGGGGAACGCATACTAATTGAGGGTCTCGCATTTCGAATAGGTACAGGATCAGTATTTATGTGTCCTGGAGTATCACTGTAACAGCGGGTGAAAGGTCGGCTGCTGACCCGCAGGTCGCGGGTTCAAATCCCTGCGGCGGCGGCTGCATTTCCGATGGAGGCGGAAATGTCCAGGCCCGTGTGCTCAGATTTGGGTGCACGTTAAAGAGCCCCTGTGGTCAAAATTTCCGGAGCCCTCCACTACGGCGTCTCTCATAATCATATGGTGGTTTTGGGACGTTAAGCTCCACAAATCAATCAATCAAGCGGGTGACAGAAACGCGGAGTCCTTTAATGCATGGCATCTCTCACGAAACCGTTTCAAGCAATGCAGTTTTTGGGCGAAAACGCTAATTATATTTATTTCACTTACTGGTCACTGCAGCTAATCAGTGCAGCAGGGCTTTCGCCTACTTGCAACGCCAGAGGAGTTTAGCGGTTGCCGAACTTCCTAAGCTTGTCCTCGTCCAATCATATACCGTTTTTCTCGCCTGTCGGCGCGCGAGAGACAAGATCACAAGTCGATTATCGCGAAAGTCTAGCGAGTCTCGCCTTTGCGCAAGCTTTTAAAGTGAAACTTTATTTGTGAGCATCTCCTAACTTTCTTGACTGCGGCTGCTTGACTAGTATTACCGAACACAGACCCTATCGCCACACAGAAAATTAGTCAAGGCTTTTTGCGTGGTAGTGGCCTATTGAATAGACCATAGCACCCCCGCTCTTTTTTTTTTCTTCTTTCACGTGTATACCCGTTTTTTCACTTTCCTTCTCATCTTTCTGCACCCTTCCCTTAATGCAGGGTATACCAAACTGGATGCTACCATTCTGGTTGACCTCTCTGCCTTTCTCTCAATTTATTCCCTCTCTCTAGTCTTGCCGAAAAGGTCATACTGCCACCATCCCACAACTTCGCCAGTTATCGGAATCGCGAGTCATAGCGTAACTAACATGATGTCACTTTAAATTATATAATAAACTGCTACTTTGTGCGTCTAGCCATTTAAATTATCTTCTAATATTGACTTTGTGTCTGCGCCTAGCTTGCGGTCTACACTATCCTTGCATCCCATCCAGCGAAGGACATTAGACAAAGTTGGCCAGAAATGATTGTAAATATTGAGGACCCCGTATCATTGAGCGTGCGCACAAGGAGGAAGGGGGGGCGCTACTCCTAACACTTCGTATTCGAACTGCATTCTGATCGTAAGGCTTCAGTGGGAGGTGGTACAGAAAGCAGAGCGGGGGGGGGGGGTGAAGCTTCACCAACATCACCCCCCCCCCCCAATGGAGAGCCTAGCGCACGCCTGTAATCGAGCACGTCACAAAATTGCGGATCGACGAAGTTCCGGAAGACTCATCGGTGTCGTACGTGTACCATGAGCGTCGGGGCGAAGACGCACGCCGACGTGCGCGCACACTACCAGCGACGCGCCACGGCACGTCATGATGTAGTTGCCGCGGCGTTTCACAGGCGCACTCGTACCCCCGACTGACTCGAACGACCGACCTTCGGCTTTCACTCACCATGTTGAGCACGGTGAGCAGGTAGGTCTGTAGGTCTTCGTTGGAGTAGTACTCCACCATGGTGCGGTCGGCCACCAGCAGGGTCTCCACGTTACGCTCCAGGCTCACCGAGCGACGACTACGTCGACGCGGCCGGTGCTCCCGAGGCCCAGCGCGGAACCCTCCGTGGCTGTGGGCGGGCAACGCAGCTCCTGCGCGACACGACCACGGGACCGCATGCAGAAGAGCTCGGGCTGCCGTTCTCTTTCCCCGAGCAGCGGATGCACAAAAGCATGCTTGGGCACCGGGACAGTACATACCAGCCCTTGAGGAGGAAGAGGAGGAGACAGAAGAAAAAAATGGGGCACTCGTTACTCTGAGCTCGATTGTCCGACTCGTTACAGAGCCAAAGCTAAAGGACAACTTACGCGTGCGCGAGGTTCGAAGGGAAAAAAAAAGATAACGCAATTTTTTATGACGAGTAAAGAACGCGTCAGTTGAGGGGATAACCGTAGGTTTACACGGCAGTCTGATTGCAATACAAGCCTAGTGAGGCGTTTTAAATGAAGAAAAAGCGCGGGCGTAAACGCAGAGATGTGATCACCGGCTGCAAGTGAGTTCTCCTGCAACTGTTTGACAGTACGCTGATAAAACAACTGCTTCTGTTGACTTTGCAGCGATGGTCATGTTGGAAAGAGGAGGCAAACATGGCCCAATGTAAAAAAAAAAGGATCAATAAGTGTGATTTGTGGGACAAACTACCAATTTTCTAGGAAAGTTCTTGACTGCAACAATAATCCTGACAGTGTTCACCTACATCTGTCGAACTAACACCGGCAAACTTAAAATTAAATTTCCGATGCCGCTTAGTACAAGAAGTACAGGTTTCAAGCGTGATGCTGTAACGGATGGCAGAAGTTTGAGTAAACGTAACGCGTCAGTATGATCACTTAAAGTGGCAGGTTTTAAGTTGAACGGTGTATACTTGTTATTTGGTACAATTACGTAACTTTCATGCAGGTATTGCATACGTAAGACCGTTTCTTACCAGTGCCCATTTTACCTAGACGCATCGCAAACGACCTACTTAACTAAGCTTTCGCGTCTGTCTCCACGCTCCTCTGGGCCACTCACCGTTGGTGGCGCAGAACGACGAGGACTGCTGTCCGTCCTGAGCACGTGACAGCCACTCGTCAGGAAAAGCGCCGACATTTCCCGAGCTGACGGAGCGCTTGTAAACGAGATGAGGCTGAGGGTCGTGTCCCTGCGGTGGCTCCAATGGCTCCACAAGGTAGTCTTCGCGCTCTGTACGCACAAAGCCGGTCTGCCAATGGGGAAAAGCACAGTCAGGAGACGGAGGTAGAAACAAGGAAAAGGGAAGTTCAAAGACAGTTCACAAAGAAGTGGGAAGTTGTTTGGCTTGCTGTACATAAAATTGGGGGAAGAGGATAAACAGGTCACCCATAAATTGATTGATTGATTGATATGTGGGGTTTAACGTCCCAAAACCACTATATGATTACGAGAGACGCCGTAGTGGAGGGCTCCGGAAATTTAGACCACCTGGGGTTCTTTAACGTGCACCCAAATCTGAGCACACGGGCCTACAACATTTCCGCCTCCATCGGAAATGCAGCCGCCGCAGCCGGGATTCGAACCCGCGCCCTGCGGGTCAGCAGCCGAGTACCTTAGCCACTAGACCACCGCGGCGGGGCAATGACGGCATCATCTAACGTCTTAGTGACGTAACTACGACGTCAGGAATTATTGCGATCTGTGACGTAAAATGGAAATAGCCATCACGTGATGATATTCTTTTTGCGTCACTCATATTGACGTCACTGACGCCGACTGTCCGTTCGATTGGGCATCTAAGGATTTCGCCTTAAAAGAATAAGGCACAGCTTGCGAACAAGCACTGTCAAGCGAACGAGCGTTTCACAAGTCTGCGTGCATCGTTTTGTCAGTGCTGCCATGAAACTTTGGTCCAGCCGACGCATTTTTGGGCCCGAAACATTGGAGAGGGAGAAGAGTGGCTGCCTGGCACTATCAAACAATTCAACAGCGTCAGATTATGATGACCATCGAGACATCAGCCGGGCTGTACTTGAGCGCGACATGGACCAGTTTAATCTGAGGGACAGCTCCACGGCTGCGACAAGCGAAGCAGCGACCGGGTCGTCCCCTGAAACTGAAGTCAAGCCTAACGATGCCGCTTAGTACAAGAAGTACAGGTTTCAAGCGTGATGCTGTAACGGATGGCAGAAGTTTGAGTAAACGTAACGCGTCAGTATGATCACTTAAAGTGGCAGGTTTTAAGTTGAACGGTGTATACTTGCTATTTGGTACAATTACGTAACTTTCATGCAGGTATTGCATACGTAAGACCGTTTCTTACCAGTGCCCATTTTACCTAGACGCATCGCAAACGACCTACTTAACTAAGCTTTCGCGTCTGTCTCCACGCTCCTCTGGGCCACTCACCGTTGGTGGCGCAGAACGACGAGGACTGCTGTCCGTCCTGAGCACGTGACAGCCACTCGTCAGGAAAAGCGCCGACATTTCCCGAGCTGACGGAGCGCTTGTAAACGAGATGAGGCTGAGGGTCGTGTCCCTGCGGTGGCTCCAATGGCTCCACAAGGTAGTCTTCGCGCTCTGTACGCACAAAGCCGGTCTGCCAATGGGGAAAAGCACAGTCAGGAGACGGAGGTAGAAACAAGGAAAAGGGAAGTTCAAAGACAGTTCACAAAGAAGTGGGAAGTTGTTTGGCTTGCTGTACATAAAATTGGGGGAAGAGGATAAACAGGTCACCCATAAATTGATTGATTGATTGATATGTGGGGTTTAACGTCCCAAAACCACTATATGATTACGAGAGACGCCGTAGTGGAGGGCTCCGGAAATTTAGACCACCTGGGGTTCTTTAACGTGCACCCAAATCTGAGCACACGGGCCTACAACATTTCCGCCTCCATCGGAAATGCAGCCGCCGCAGCCGGGATTCGAACCCGCGCCCTGCGGGTCAGCAGCCGAGTACCTTAGCCACTAGACCACCGCGGCGGGGCACTGACGAATTGTTTTTGGAAAAAATGAATTCGCATATACATTGACACGCTGTTGTGGCACTTCGTATGAGTAATCATTTACATTTCTCAGGTTTCTTCCGCGGCGTGGCGTTAAGTATTTTGTTGTGTTTATGTTTAATTTATTTTTTGACAATAAAAACAAGAACTTCATCCTTGCCAATTGCCGTCGTTCAGCTAAAGTGGGCAGTTGAAGAGAGCGTAGCATTTGTGTTACTGACTCAGTCGAGGAGTACTTTGAAAGAATAAACCTGGCAGCTCGCCTTCGTACTCTTTCTAGCATATTAATGAGGCCGATTTTCGAGGGATCCCACACAATGCTGGCATATTCCAATGTTGGCCGAATATACGTAAGATATGCTGCTAGCTTAACGGGAGTCGTAGCAAGTCTTAATTTTCTTCGCAAGCACCATAGTTTTCTCTCCGCCACCGCACAAATGTTTTCCAAATGGGTCCTCCAATTTAGATTACTGGCTATTGTTACACCTAAATATTTTATTTCATTGACGGTAGACAGGCGGGTAGAACATAGAGTGTAATTGGAATAAAAGACACGCTTACTTTTGTTTGTGACGCGCAAAGCAACTGTTATAGTTTGATTTATTTCCATTTTAGATTCAATGCACCAACTACTGACAGCATCAAGAATATCATTAAACGTTTTTTGGTCAGCTTCACTGTGTATTTCTTTATAAATTAGGCAGTCGTCTGCAAAAAGTCGCACTGTAGTACTTCTATCTATGCCGCATGAAATGTCATTTATGTAAGTTTAGAAAAATATCGGTCCTAAAACTGAACCTTGCGGCACCCCCGCTTAATAACTCAGATTTGAAGCCGTTTATTTCTACATATTGTGTTCTGCCTGTCAGGTACGCACTTATCCACTGTATTATGTTATAATTTATGCCTAGGTGTGCTAATTTATTAATTAACTCCCTGTGAGGAACCTTGTCAAAGGCTTTGGAGAAGTCGAGACATATTGCGTCAATCTGAACACTATTATTTAGGGCACGCGTGAAATCATCGACTGTTTCTATTAATTGGGTTACAGTGGATAAATTCTGCCGAAAACCATGCTGATTAGGAGAAAATGTTTTTGTGCTCTCAAGATACGTGTACATAGCTTTGGATATAATATGCTCTAAAAGCTTGCAGCATACACAGGTGAGGGAAATTGGACGGTAATTTTCCACCTTTTGTTTCCATTATTGCGATCTGTGACGTAAAATGGAAATAGCCATCACGTGATGATATTCTTTTTGCGTCACTCATATTGACGCCACTGACGCCGACCGTCCGTTCGATCGGGCATCTAAGGATTTCGCCTTAAAAGAATAAGGCACAGCTTGCGAACAAGCACTGGCAAGCGAACGAGCGTTTCACAAGTCTGCGTGCATCGTTTTGTTAGTGCTGCCATGAAAATTTGGTCCTGCAGACGCAGTTTGGGCCCGAAACATTGGAGAGGGAGAAGAGTGGCTGCCTGGCACTATCAAACAATTCAACAGCGTCAGATTATGATGACCATTGAGACATCAGCCGGGCTATACTTGAGCGCGACACGGACCAGGTCAATCTGAGGGACAGCTCCACGGCTGCGACAAGCGAAGCAGTGCCCGGATCGTCCCCTGAAACTGAAGTCAAGCCTAATGAAGCCCCTGACACCGAAGAGTCTGCTGCGCATGCGTAGCGGCGTTCGACGCGAGCTAGGAAACCAGTACAGCGGTGTGCACCACAAGAAGAAGGACTGCTGCAAAGTAGATTGCGCTGTACGCGCACGCGCATAACCGCCTACAGTTAGAGATAGTGTTTATCTATGCTTGCACTGAGTCGCACCCGATCGTACTCGATATCATTTCACGGTGACTATAAAAACGATAGCCGCATCGAATGAAACGTTCTTGTTCGGGCAGCTTTCGTCTAGTTCACTTCTTGGATGCTGCGCGCTCCACCCATCATCCCGATGTTGCAGTTAGTACGCGGCAAGGATCTACTGGTGTCTAAGGAGGCCACCGCCAGCCTAGTCGCCATCTCCGGTTCCCGTCGTCACATAGTGACAGCGCTGGCTTTGTCGCAAGTAGACACCAAGTGCGGCAAAGCCCGCTTGTCAGGCGGGAGCTAGCCAAACGTTGCGAGTCAACTACGATTTTAGCGGTAGACATGGATATTAAAGAACAGGACGAAATGGAGGCTCGAAACTTTCTGAAGGAAGAATAATAGAAGCTAAAATAAATATTCGCAATCATTTGAATAAAAACAAAAATGCGGCCAAAAATCATCTTACGCGATCATCTGACGATACAAAGCGTGTTTGTAATTAAATGACGCAGCTCTGTTTTTCCCCCGTCGCTACTCCCTCGTTAAGATCTGCTCCGTAAGGTTTCCCAACGATCCCAGCGTCTCACGATCTTTTAATAACCTCAATCGATTTTAATTAATTATAGAGACATTAGATACAATTAGCAAAGCGGAAACCTGGCGGGGCCATTGCCTGCAAATTATGCAAGGCTAGATCCGCTGGCTACCTACAGCATCCTAAACTAAACTTAACTAGTGACTGAAAGAAAATTAAGGGTGCAACTCGGTGCTCACGCCACGAGAGAGAGCGAGAGAAATGATGTTTATTTGGAAGTGCCGAGAATGCTGCCACGAAACATCATCACTTTAAAATGCGTCGTAAAAGGCACCCTACAACTTGAAGTGCACACAACCAAATTGGACGCCAAGATCACTGAAGCGTGAAGACAGACGCGACAAAACATCTGGCAATATGGGGAACGTCATAAAATGAGACGACAACAGATTACTCGATAGAGAATCACCAGCTCGTGAAAGATAGGCGCCTTACGAAAAAAATAAACGTCGCTCTGCCAGTGTGACTGTCAGCTACTCCCCGTACGATGAATTCTACTGCGATATAAAATAAAAATAGTAATGCGCCTGCATCGATTTGTCCCCACTTGTTGCGACCGTTTTAAGGATCTTTGCTGAACTGTATGTAGATACACTTATAATGCGATAGTTAGTTCATAACAGAAAATATATTATTTCAATTTTGATAGTCACAGTGAGCGATGTGAACGAGCAGTATCGGCACAACTCAAACTAATTTAATCACGCCACGTCGAAGGAACAAAACAAAAAAAGAAGGAACTCATCCTTTAATCACGTGACTGGCATTAATCGATTCCCTGATTATGCGTAAATATAGTCAATCTCCGCCCGCATCAACAAGCATAACTCCCTCGCCTCAATTTTCGGACGAGAACTAGTTTATAGCTGAACTATGGGAGAAGTGAAGGCTTCGGAACTTTCATTTTTAGAACGGTCAGAACTTCGAGCTGAATTATTCGGCACTTTAAACCAGATTTGATGGAGGCGGCGGTTCGATAGTTAGAAGAGCGAAGCGCTTCATTAAAGCCGACATTATCAAGATTGATGAGCCAATGCTTTGTACGGAAACCATTAAAAATAATGCACAGTTGCCTTCATAACCAATATGGTCAAAAGCAGCCGATGCGCTGCTAACCAACGCTCGGGCGCATAGCTCAAAATCCACCCTAGCAAAATTCAAACTGCATCTCAAGACGAAAACTATCAAAAAATGAAGTAAACATAACTTTAGTAATAGTTTTTATCTAGAGTCACCAAATTTGCGCCTCCTCCTATTTCATAGAGAATGAAAGAAATTAAACACACACACACACACACAATTGCACGAACGCCTTACTTTTTCTTCCCTCAAGTAATTCCGTAACCTTAATTGGAGATATTCGAAAGTGCGTTCGTTAGTGTTTCAAGCTATCATTTTTTTTTTACCTTGACGAAACAGAGAACAAGATTCGACGCGCCTGTCGGCAAATCGGGAAGTTTTAAGTAAAAAAAAGCGTACTGTTCATCGATAATTAGGCATTATATTAGGTAAAAATACGAGGAAACATGAAGGACCTGGCTGGTATACTTTGTTTATCTATAGGCTTAAAAAGTAAGAATGAAACGACCATTGATGAATAGAAAGAAAGAAAGAAAGAAAGAAAGAAAGAAAGAAAGAAAGAAAGAAAGAAAGAAAGAAAGAAAGAAAGAAAGAAAGAAAGAAAGAATCGTTTCGTGTAAGCGGATCTGCCCAACGGTGCAGAGAAGAGAGAGCGAAAGCGAGGAAGAGGCTATGGGGAGGAGGTGATCTCAAACCAATGTTCGGCAGAAATAATCAAAGGTCGCATCGGTACAGTTCGCTTTCGGAAAAGGGCAGGCGAACGTCGCCTGTTCTATGATGACGTGCAGATCCAAATGAGCGTCACAGAGTGTGCTCACGCGCGTTAGTGCAGCAGGAATTCGCCCCGAGGGCGGCGCTGGGAAACGTTCGACGAATCGGGCTCTCAGGCGCGCCTGCACCATCCCGCACCGAACCTGGCTGCTTCTGTCAGCGCGCACTGGCACACACTGCAGCCCCGTGCCTCCTCCCCGGCGGCGCCCAACAGACCGAGGGACCCACGGCTCTGATTGAAGTACGCGCGAGCGGAAGAACTTTGCACGGCGTTATTTAAGCGCACCAGGGGGCACTCCGCGAATGAGAGAAGGCGGAAGGGGGGCAACGTTTTGTAGCGTCTTTAGTTCACCAAATAGCAATCACTTTCGCGAACGCTCTGGATAGAAGCCATCGAACAAATGTGATTCACTGGAGAAAACGGCACCGTATATTGATGTCGGAAACTTGGTTCAATGGCATTAAATTAAACGTACAGCGGTCTTTCAAAGAGCGTATTCGTTCATTCTGTAAGTTTTCCTTTAAACGCTCTAAATTATATGAACACATGTGTGGGCCCATCGTGCGCCCATACAGATGAGAACATCTGAATGCTCTGCACCAAACTTATGAGCTCCAGTGGCAGGATGTCATTATATATATATATATATATATATATATATATATATATATATATATTGTACATACAGAGACTTGACGGCTTCCGCTACTCGTAGGAGCGTCACGCGCGAATTCATAAAAGCTACTACTGAGGCCGGTGAGCGTATGCTTTTTTCTTTCGTGTGCACATCTCAGCGCTTAATTTAAAGCTTGAAAACACTTATCTCCTCCAGGCTTTTCTAGAAGTGACAATTGGCTCAAGCAGCTCCGCAGTTAAAACTCCGCGAGTAGCCGAGCGCCATGCCAGGTATTGCAAAAAAGGATATAGTTAAACCGTGCAATCGAGTTTTCCAGTGTGACTGCAGCGCCAAAACGCAATGCCCAGCGGAGAAAAAACGCAATGATAGGTTGGGTCAGTCGAAATGAAACGCGATGCCTGCGTCTCCCTGCCCGCGTGAGGGCAAATTAGGAGTGCCCCAAACGGTGATCCTGCTTGTTCCAAAGGAACAAGCAGGATTTCGAACAGGCTACTCAACAATCGACCATATTCATACTATCAATCAGGTAATAGAGAAATGCTCAGGATATAACCAACCACTATACATAGCTTTCATAGATTACGAGAAGGCGTTTGATTCAGTAGAAATATGAGCCGTCATGCACACACTGTGGAATCAGGGCGTTGATGAAGTATATATAAACATCCTTGAAGAAATCTACAGGGGATCAACTGCTACCATAGTGCTTCATAAAGAAAGCAACAGAATACCAATCAAGAAGGGTGTAAGGCAGGGGGACACAATCTCCCCAATGCTATTTACCGCGTGCTTACAGGAGGTTTTCAGAAGCCTAGAATGGGAACAGTTAGGGATAAGAGTTAATGGAGAGTACCTTAGTAACCTGCGCTTCGCCGATGACATTGCATTGCTGAGTAACTCAGGGGACGAATTGCAATTCATGATTACAGAGTTAGACAAGGAGAGCAGAAAGGTGGGTCTTAAAATTAATCTGCAGAAAACAAAAGTAATGTACAACAACCTAGGAAAGGAGCAGCGCTTCGAGATAGGTAATAGTGCACTTCAAGTTGTAAAAGACTATGTCTACTTAGGGCAGGTAATAACCGCGGAGCCAAACCACGAGATTGAAGTAACTAGAAGAATAAGAATGGGGTGGAGCACATTTGGCAAGCACTCTCAAATTATGACAGGTAGATTGCCACTATCCCTCAAAAGGAAGGTATATAACAGCTGTATCTTGCCGGTACTTAGATACGGAGCAGAAACCTGGAGACTTACAAAGAGGGTTCAGCTTAAGTTGAGGACTACGCAACGAGCAATGGAAAGAAAAATGGTAGGGGTAACCTTAAGAGACAAGAAGAGAGCAGAGTGGATCAGAGAACAAACGGGGGTTAAGGATATCATAGCTGAAATCAAGAAGAGGAAATGGACATGGGCCGGGCATGTAGCGCGTAGACAGGATAACCGCTAGTCATTAAGGGTAACTGACTGGATTCCCAGAGAAGGCAAGCGGGTTAGGGGGAGACAGAAGGTTAGGTGGGCAGATGAGATTAAGAAGTTTGCGGGTATAAATTGGCAGCAGCAAGCACAGGACCGAGTTAACTGGCGGAACATGGGAGAGGCCTTTGTCCTGCAGTGGACGTAGTCAGGCTGATGATGATGATGATGATGATGATGATGATGATGATGAAACGGTGAACGTCAGCGAACTTAGGATGGGCTAGTGCCTAAGGTCCCTAGATCTAGAAACCCTACTAGTGCTAGCAACGCAGCTCCCTCTGGTCAGCGAACAGTGCCGCCCTGTCGTCTCGTTCTCGCGAATGTTGTTTTTTTACGCTCAAAATTGTTTGTCAACTATGCACCACCTCACCAAATTTCAAGTTTCATTAAACTATCATGGCTGCCGCATGTGAGGTGGACGCTCTCTGCATGTATCCCTCAGGACCACCAAGAGTGTTGCAATTGTTGCTTAAGCAATCTTCGTTTCCCGCGGCCTCGGAACGAGTGGACCACGTAGCTCTGTTTAACAATTGCGGCGTTGTTAATTCACACTGCGACACGTGACCAGAATTTCGCGCGTGGAAGAGCGCGCCCATACTATAGAGGAATCTAAAAGAAGCATACGCACACAGCACTGTGTGTGATTCTTTTAGCTTTGTGTCCTTTCGAGGTTCGTTGTCCACGCTCATTGTGCACCAACTTGCCCCAACAACCAGTGTTGGGAATCTCGTGCACAAGCGAGGGTTGTTTTTTTGTCTTTTTCTTTTCTCTGCCTGCGTTTGAAGGGGATCTCGTGCCTCGAGCGACAGTGCCGTGCCGGCATGCTTTCGTATAGATACCGGCGCACTCAAGGTCGGCAGCACTCTTCTTCCCGATTAGATATCGCTCCAGGATCTTACGATACCGCCCCCCCCCCTCGTTCACATACTCTGGCGCGCGCCTACACCCGGAAGCGTTCACAACCGGACAATGTGGTTCGTAAGGAAAAGGAAGAAGGCACCTAATTTCTGTCTGCCTATAGGCGACACGGCGCAGTGCCTTATAGGGGTGGGGATAAGGAGGGATAAAAAGAATAGAAGGAAATAGATGAAGAAATAGAGAGGCAAGCGACGGAAAATAGAAGGAGATAGGAAAGTGGGGATCCGGACGAAGCAGTCCAAGGACGGGGCACCACAATGCGAGAGCTGCAGGGCGTCAGGAGACCGCGGAGGGCGAACCAGTCGGCGGGAGCTACGCTGGCGTCGGAGATCGCGAGGGCACGACCGTCCAGCTTGAAATCCTGCGAGCGAATCCAATGTGTGCGCGGTGAACAAGAACGATTAGTCCGGGACGTGGTGTGGGAATCAACGCTCCGGGTTACCGCCATCAGACCAGCGTACGTCATGGTCACAGCGACGCCACCATCATTTAAAGCGCTGTCAGGTGTCGCTAGAAAGTGTGGTCTACAGCATCCCCCTGACACGCTGAAAGCAGTATGTCGGTCAAACGGGCCGATGAGTGAACGACCGATTGCGCGATCACAGTATAATAACGTTCGCTAAATAATTAGCGGGTATCAATAGCCCTTTAATGCAGCACGCGTGACACTCATGAATTCAAACCCCTCTTCTAAAGGTGACGATTGGTGGGGCGAGGAGGTTCTCAATTAACGCGTGAAATAATTGAGGCAGCAGAAATTGAGAGACTTGGCAATAACTGCGTGAGCATCCCGTCCATTGCCTTGGCGGAAAAAGAAGTTCACTATTTGTCCTGCGCGCATGACCGTCGAAAGTGACGTGGGCTGATTCCCCATTTTGGGTTTTTGCAAATATTGGCTTGCAATGTTTTGTTCACGTGTCGTTTTTTTTTTCTCTTTATATTCTGCTTCGTTTCGGAAATAAACTTCAGTTGTAAGTTCAACGCTCGTGCTTGTTTCTTCCTATCCATTGTCGGTTGTTGCGCTGTTCTCTGTATAAACAAGTAGAACGTAAGCAATCATTGCGATAACGCAGAGTGTATGCGTAGAGTCAGGCGTTCAGCCTTCGCGGCTGCTGGCTGAGCCACTCCTCTTTATTGTAAAAAATTGAATGGAAAAGGAGGAATCCAGCCATGACGACGTATGCGATGATGGATGAACAACATTTACCAGAAACGGGCCTGCCAAACGCTACAGGATAGATTTGACAAGCCCCTGCAGACACTCGTACGATATACGACACCAGTTAGGCGTCGAAAGTGTACTTGAACTGTATTGCTTTAAATCAGAATAATTTTAGACAGACTCACGCAAATTTTACATCAATAGCATTGAATAGCATTTAGTGTACCTTCGGCGAACGTAAAAGGTACTTATGCAATATAGGACACGAGTTTGCTGTCGGACCGTGTCTGAACCAACTCCCGAGTGGCATCGATCATGGAGAATACTTGGATTCCCCTAGCCGTCGGTACCCCGACCACATCCGCAGCCTATCTACAGCGAATTCGGCGACGCAGGGACAAAAGCATGTGCCATGAAGAGCTGTTCCCAGGCGCAGTCAAAGCAGACGAAAAAGGAGACGTCCTTGCAGCCTACGCGTACATACAATCACCATGCGCTGCAGGGGCGCGCGGCACACAAGAAAGAGAGACAGCCGAGACGGCGAAAGACCCACCAGGCCATTGCAGGTAGACAGCGCCAGGCTTCCGTTCCCACCACGCAGGGAACCCGTGTAGAAGCAACCCGGATTGGATATCCGGGTCAGGTTGCGCACGCCGTAGCTCGGAGACAATCCGAAGCCGATCCGGCGTTCCAGAACAAAGCCTGGCGCCAGCAGGCGTCCGTTGGGCTCGAGGCGAAGCAGCAGCGGCGGCTCGGCGCCTGGCAGCGGTAACCGCACGTGCATGCTGGGGCCTCCCAGCTCCGGGGATCTGCGCCGGCGGCGGCCGGAGGCGTGCTGCACGTTGGCGGCATGGTGAACCGCGTGGCTCAGGAAGCGGCCGCCCGCGCTCACCCGCTGCGGGTGCACGACGGCCGAGCTATCTGCCGGATGCACGTCTGCGAACGCCGGGAATTAGAAAGTCAACGAAGATGCTTCATACAGAGGTCCACGAAAGCACGCGTAAAAGAGTGCACGGAAAGACTCGTCTGCATCGAGTTTCACACGACACTAGTACGCGTATTAAGAAGTGACCGCTTGATTATTTGATTAATTGATTGATTATTTGATTGATTGATTGATTGATTGATTGATATGTGGGGTTTAACGTCCCAAAACCACCATATGATTATGAGAGACGCCGTAGTGGAGGGCTCCGGAAATTCGGACCACCTGGGGTTCTTTAACGTGCACCCAAATCTGAGCCCACGGGCCTACAACATTTCCGCCTCCATCGGAAATGCAGCCGCCGCAGCCGGGATTTGATCCCGCGACCTGCGGGTCAGCAGCCGAGTACCTTAGCCACTAGACCACCACGGCGGGGCAAGAAGTGACCGCGACACGCAAACGGAGAAAAAGTAAATGTGTAAGAACATTAAAAGCTGTTGCGACGTTACGCATCTCACTGGTGGTATAGAGAGACGCAGAAGTGCACGCACGCACATACACACACACACATACAAACACACAGGTCCATGAAGAAGCCGATCGCTCAAATAGTGAGAAGCAGGCGAGGAAAGAAGGAAGGAAAGAAGGAACAGGAGGCAGACTGGTATGCTATACCCTACACTGACGGAAGGAATGAGGGAGTTCGAAAGTTAAAGGCACAGAAAAGAGTGAAGGGGGCATACACACACAATCCTCACAGTCACAATATTGCTATTGGGTCTACAACCACCGGCGCAAGTCTGTTATCTTCAAGAATTTTAGCAGACAAGAGTCCACACTGCTGCTAAAGTTCGACATAAACAGCGCCCTGCGGGCATACTGGGTACATCATAACGCTTGCGCGAAGAGAAGCGCGCCAATGCCAGTGCTGACGTCGCACTTTGACGGTGCATGTTCGACAGGTCGACAGAAAACCATCTTCGGCGCTTGTCGGCGTTCAATAAAAATTAAAAAAGAAAGGATTGGAGAGAGGGAGAACACAACATTATTGTCACCATTTTTTATAAAAGTACGTGATCCGCCAGACCGAGTGAGCCTGGTGACCACCTCATATATGTCCTCCGTACGACCTAGAGCTGGACTAGTGCTGGTCAGCCTCTGCTCCCACCCCTTGGGTGAAGGAGTGACAAAGGTATTGGAAGTCTTCCCTTCATGAAGTCCCAGATAAGGTGGTTAACTGCGGCTACTGATCCGCAATGCGAAAAGTGCTGGTCAATCGTTTCGGCGTCCGGCGCTTGGTTACTGCGGCGTGATTTCAACTGCCTCGACAAGCGGTAACAACGTGGTGTGGTGTCAGGGCTTCGTCTGTGTGCCCCCGTATCAGAGGCAGGCTGAACATTTAGCTTTACCTTGACGTTTGTTCTCTGTTCCACTGAGACGTGTATACGACGATATTGGCAACGGTGGGTCGATTTCTTCACTGTAAGCAATGAAATAGATAAATAAATAAATAAACTTAGTTGAAACACCCGAGGCACTAGTCTAAGGAAGTCCCAAGACCCCCTCAACCCGAAATAAATAAATAGGTAGCAGGAACAGTGACACTGCACGTGCAACTCGTGCCGCTATCCGATGCTGCGGCGCCGGCTGACAGCAGGCACCCATCGCGCGATGCGTGTAGGAGAACAAAGGCGTCACACAATGCCAGCGACGGGGCGCGCCAGAAGTTCACCGGCAGCGCAGGGCAGACACGTACGCCGGCTCAAAACAGGCGCTGCCGCGTCATGCAAGATTGCGTCATGGTCCCTGAATGTTTACACGTGCCCGCAATCTACGACAGTGTCAAACCTCCGCGCGAGGCGCCAGAGCTCACGCCACGCCAGATGTGTGTCATGTCATGTGTATATACGAGTTCGCACCGCATGATGGTGCATTTCAATGCATATCAGTGGTTTGTCCAGAACTTGAGTATTCCTAAAGCCCAATTAAGCGGAATAAAAAAAAAAAAAGAGTACTCCTCGCGGGAGTGCGAACCGTTCAGAGAAGCGGTCGTTAAAGTGCGTATTCCAGCGAAGCTCGTTATATATAACACGCGAAACTCGGTGGTTGTATACGCCAAAAATCTGGCGCCGACCTAATGGCAAAAACGCAGCCCTCGAAACATGTGCCGTTAACGGGTGCGTTTGATTACGCCATCTTCCAGTAATTAAGGGTGTGCGAATAGTGAATTTTAGAACCAAATCAAATAACGATGGCGCCGAATCAAATACGAACCGAATATTATTCGAACAGTTTTCGAATAGTAAGGTGAAAATTTTCAGAACAGCCCAATAATTCCGCGACGCTTTAATCGAAACAAACATTTATAAGGCAACAAAGGAACATTACGACTACCTTTAACTGAAAAGAAATATCAATTCAAATTGAGCAGTAACTAGAACCTTCGAAATATTTTTTAACTACAGGCTGAAATAAGCAGTATTCAAGGTGGTAGTTTGTCAACAGCTTTTAAATAAACTGCGAGTCACGTATTACGCAATTTGCATGAGTTGACATCATCGTGAATTTCATAGCGACGATAGTTGACTGCTGACGCTGCTGCTTCGGCGACACTGAAGTTTTAAGCAAGACGCGTATGTATCTGGGACGATGAAAGCAAGAAGAGTTACCCCTCGTTGTTCCCACGGCTCGGGCCTTGGAGCATTTTCTGTCGTTGCTGATTTTGTAGCGTTAGCTACACTGAATAAACAATTGTATCGGGCCAGTTGGTAAGGATCCATCTTGCTAGGAAGCGCAGCCACTATTACAAAGAACACACAACACGGGCGCTTAACTTCAATTTCAGTTCAAGTTAAGCGCCTGTGTTGTGTGTTCTTTGTAATAGTGGCTGCGCTTCCTAGCAAGATAGCTACACTGGCCTCGCTGAGCCGATTTCGCATGGCACTGGTCTGCGCATGCGCAATGATACTCCGCCGCCGTCGCGCGCGGCTCGCCGCCGGTGTGGGCGCAATTCGATGCGCTGCGCAGACGACCAGTGGTGTCACGCACCGGAGCCGGCACCTCCCTCGCACTCGGCCGCGGCCGCGCGCGACTCGCCGCCGCCGGTGTGCCTTTCCAGAGGAGTGCCGTCATAGCCTTGGTAGACATATGGACGCCGACGCGCGCGCCTTCCCTGTGCAGTCGCCATCTGACACTGCGCTGGAGCCGCTTGATAGCGCCTCTGACTGGCGTTTGCCACTGTGGTATAGCCATGGAGAAAAGAGAGTGCAAATGCTGCTCAACGGTGCAGTAGAGCGGAGAAGCTTAACTCCTCGGATCCCGAAGTAGTTATACGCGGCAAAATAAATATACATGTACCACATAATACGTATACCATGTGTGTGTCATTGAAACAGCTGTAAGCATGATATCTGGAAAGCTAAGAATAATCAGCTGAACCTTTGCTAACACTACGTATATCCTGGCATAGCTGAGCTAAGCCACTTCCATTTTTTTTTTCCAAAGATATTCGAGAAAAAAAAATATTCGGAATTTAGAATATGCGCTACTTCAATTCGAGTACAGAGTCAAATACGACGTTATTGTATTCGTTATTCGAAATTTTCGAAAATTCGCGCACCCCTACCAGTAATCGATGCTCTCTCGATCGTGGGCTAGTCGACAATCAGCCATTTCTAATTATTGATTGATTCCCCGCCGCGGTGGTCTAGTGGCTAAGGTACTCGGCTGCTGATCCGCTGGTCGCGGGATCGAATCGCAGCTACGGCGGCTGCATTTCCGATGGAGAAGGAAATGTTGTAAGCCCGTGTGCTTAGACTTGGGTGCAGTTAAAGAACCCCATGAGGTCGAAATATCCGGAACCCTCCACTACGGCGTCTCTCACAATCATATGGTGGTTTTGGGACTGTTAAACCCCACATATCAATCAATCAATCAATCATTGATTGATTGGTATGTGGGGTTTAACATCCCAAAACCATCATATGATTAAGTCATTTCTGATTAAGCAATCCGTTTTTGTCGAGGTGACTTGTTCTCATTGCATTGCCACGTGTCATCGGTGCCTGAATTTGGAACCGTCGACACTGTTGTTGTTGAAGTGTTGTTCTGATAAACAAGTGGAGGAGAAAGAAAGAAGAAAGAAAGAAAGAAAGAAAGAAAGAAAGAAAGAAAGAAAGAAAGAAAGAAAGAAAGAAAGAAAGAAAGCGTCTTCTTTCAAGCCTATAAATTGGAGGCCTTTAGGCGGAAGGTACGAGTCATCAGCCGCTGCACCGGAATTCCTCCCGCGCAGTCAATCATTCACACCTGCCCGTGCACACATTCTTGTCATAGCCGAGTATAGCTGCCAGTTGCTACTTTATTGCGACTTTTTTTCTTCTTTTTTTAATCGTCGTTAAGTAGTATGTTGTTGCGCGCAAGGTGCAACCGACAGTCAGCCGGCGCGTGCACTGTGGAGATGCACCTTGGTATATTAATAGCATGCTCGCACTGACACACGCATCCCGTAGACGAAAGAAGTGTAGAAGTATAGGAAGGAGAGACCGTGCCAACACGCCTATGCCGTGCATGCGGAAGTCATAGCTGCACGTACACACCAGCGTGCCCAGCAATGCGGCTGCTTCGTCGAGCTTTTGACGCATGCACCAAGCTCGCGAATCATTTACCGAAAAATGTGAACGTGTACGCGAAACGCCCCAGCACGAACAACGGCGCTACACATAGGTACCTTCATTCAGAACGCCAAATAACAACGGCCGAGAGGCCAATGGGCGCCGCACTCAGTCAGCTGTAAAGAAGCACGGAACATGTGCAGGGTGCAGACTACAGCGAACCTAGCATTTTTCTTATGAATATTGCGCACAGAAAGCAAACGAGATCTTGAGAACTGACGCAGCTTCACGGTTTCGCTTGCTGGCACGTGAACTGACACTTGCACCGTGGAACTCGGCGGAATTCACCAACGCTTCTTTACACAGCTTTGGTCCCATTCTCCAGCTCCGCCTTCCGTCAGGAAT